GATTCCACCATGGAGTTAATTACCAGTCTCACCATGGGGAATAACTACATTCAGCTGCCCAGCCACTCAACCAGGCCCAGCCAAGTTGACACACAAACTTCACCACCACACACAATCCCAGTGAGTGGCAGGCCAGGCATCTACAAACAGAAGTGAGTCCACCTGGGAGACTTCGCTAATGAGACTGGACGTCTGCTTGGCATTTACCCTTCCTTATCCTCTTCTCCTTCCTCGGCACATGGTACCTTGCTTCATCCCCAGACGTTCTGTTGTTGTGTCTGTCAGCCCTGTCCCTCTTCTCCGGGAACTGCCATCTTATCCACAGTGCTGGCATCCATATCTGTAACAATCGACTGGCTGATTGGAGTAGGGAGGGAGTATTCATCTGCCCCAAACTGGACCAATCAGATTCTCTCCTGGAGAGTCAGTAGTGAAAGGTTCTCCCCGTGTGTCTGAATGCACAAGCTCACAGGCTGGGGGTGTCTGTGTTCTGCCAAGTGGATGGAAGAGTGGATAGAGCCCATCTGCAGAAAGAGAAAAGACGCAGGAGATGCCCAGAAAGAGCAGAGGGACAGTTCTCACCTTTGCTGCTTCCTGATTCCAGGTCCTACCTGTTCTCTAGCCTCCTCTAGACACCTGCAGTGTGGTAGGGAGGGTAACAGCCCACACAGAGTCACATCCTCGTTTCTGGAACTTGTGTATTAGCTTACGTGGCAAAGGGGGATTGAGGTTGTTAATCAGTTGACGTCACGATAAACAGATTCTCCTGGATTGTGTGGGCCCAGTGTAATCACATAATCTTTAAAAATGGAAGAAGGAGGCAGAAAGAGTGATTTAGAGAGAGATGTGAGGGTGGAAACAGGGTCATCAGAGAAATGCCACAGTGCTGGCTTGGAAGATGGCGGCATGGGGCCATGAACCAAGGGACGCAGGTGGCTGCTGAAAGCTTGAAAAGGCAAGGGGACAGATTCTCTCCTAGAGCCTCTGGAAGGAACTCAGCCCTGATGACACCTTGATTTTAGCCCAGTGA